CCCCCCCCCCCCCCCCCACGGCTCGGTAGTATATATATACGCACATGTACGCCAAGTATTTGGTTATCGGAACCAAATTCACTCAACTCAGCACTTGCTTCATGCAGGCTTTCGAAGACCGGCCTAACGAGAGGAGAGACGCGAAGAAGAGCATTTGGCCCGCGGCGGCCAGCGGGTTGCACAAAATATGATGCGCATTGCCGTCGCAGGTGGAGGTGGACTCGGTTACCTGCTGGCGCTGCAGCTTTCGCAGGCAGCCAACGCTTACAACGTTGTCGTTTTATCAAGATCTGTTGGTTTGCCCAACCTCATCCCTGGCGCTCGGGTTACCATGTTAATGTGGCACAGGCAAGACCGGAATTCGGCCAGCTCGACGTCCAACTCCATGTTGTCGACTACAGTGATCACGACAAGTTGACCTTTGCTCTTCAGGGCGTGGATCTGGCCATATCGACTATATCGGGGACGGAGCAGCTCAGCCTCATCAACGCGGCAGGACGTGCTCGCGTGCGTGTCTTCGTGCCGTCGGAATTTGAGGGGAGTTTGAGCCGGCGACCATCACACAACGACCCGTTGGACCGCGGGTCGACCCAAGCAATCGCTCTGCTGAAACAATGGGAGAGTGCGTCCCGCATGAAATACACCGTCTTTGCGTGTGGCATCTTTATGGAGCGATTTCACCCCTACGGCCTCGGGTACCTCAACATTGGATACGGCAGCGGCGTTTCGGCAGTGGGAGACTACCTCCTCGACATCAACCATGCAACAGCGGAATATGCGGCGGAAAACTCCAAGGGGCACACAGTCCGGGTGTGCTTAACATCGGTCTACGACGTGGTGCGGTTCATAGTAGCGGCCATAGACTTGGGGCCTCGAAATTGGCCACACGAATTCACCATGCGGGGGGACAGAATGTCTGTTCGAGACGTTGTCGGGACATGCAGTCGCGTCAGGAACGGTAAGGCGCCCTGTCAGAGCTGGAGCAAGGTTACAATCATTACTGTTTAACCCAGATGCAAAAATACTAACTGCTCCTGGTCAGTGGCCTTTGATCATCACATGCGGCAAAGCTCTGAGCTCCAGTCATACTTGGCTTACTTTGTTCAGGCTGGTGACGGAGATAAAGTTGCATACTACCAGCGCCTCATTGCCACGACAAACGGACGCTATGATTTTTCACGGGCCTCGCTGAATGATGCCTTGGAAAAGAGTGGCCAGGGGGACGTACAACCCATGACCCTGTTGCGGTGGCTAACAAACGTCTGGCAGTCCTTATGATCAAATATGGAAGGGCGGGAGTCGGGCGACGGCATTTGTCTAGTCCTCTCTGGCTGTGACACGCAATGGAGAGAAAACAAGGGGAAAGGACGGGCATCGATGCTTTGGGCTCGGGGGTCGGGGCTTTGGGCATCATCATATGGAGGGAAGAAGATGGCAATAGGCTCGAGCGGATGGACAAGCATTTGGGAAATGCATTTGGCGACGGCGTTCAATCTCGGGCTCTTTTTTTTTATGGATACGGTTCGGATGTGATAGTGAGAAATACCCCATTTTTTTCTCGGAAGCTCTTGCTCAAACAAGGGAGACAGGGGAGATGCAAGCGAGCGCGGGAAGGTACTACTAGCTCGAAGGCAACTTACACAAGTGTCGCGGCGGAAGGTGATCGGGGTGGAGAGCATTGACAGCAGTGGGCGATTGCTCCTTCCACCGGTTAACAATGTTCAATGTTGGGTAGAATGACTTGACTTATCCCACGCAGTAATATGCGGGTGGGGAGATGGGGACATGACAAGCACAAAAGAAAGATGAAAGATGCATTGATCAATGTATACGGAGTACATGACCAGTTGACGCCACCAACGGCGGCTAGGGCCAGTGCCAGTTATGTCAATATCTTGCCGTCCCGCGCATCATCAGCGGCTGTTGTATTGACAAGGCTTCATGTGCTGCCAACCCACTATTGTGTGCACCATCGACGCCCGCAGCGCACTGATGATGGGCGCCGTGTCCGAGCACTTGCATTGTTCCATCTTGTCTGGTTTCTTTGAGACTAACAATACGGGCCGGCGCGCGCCATTACAACCAGCACGGCACATGGCACTGGGATGCACATTAAGGTTCCTGCCGTCGCCCAAACGGGCCATGTTCACGCATAAATCCAGTCCGTCCGGCGGTTGCAGAGGCTCAGGTGCTCTCCAGTGCTCTTGTTGACGGACTGATGCAATGCGTACATGTAAGCCTGCTGCTGGGTTCACAGTGAGAGAGGCTTCTCTAATCAAAATGCCCAAATTGCAGAGGCTCTCTCATTCTACTTTTCTGGCCCGTTCGGCTGGCCTCAGTTTCAATATTCATTTGTCATGTGCTATGTATAGCCGCAGCGGCGCCTAGTCTTGACGGCTCCGCTCTTCCTTCAGCTTGACATGGTTTGATCAACATGCATTTCCTCCGCTGTCACACTTGATGCCATACGCCGTGCAACCGGCTTCTGTAAGAGTGGCACTGCGTTGAAGCAGTACGCCTTTTTTTTATTTTAGTTCTTTTCCTTCTCGTGGTTCTCGTCCAAAACGCCGCATAACATACGGCAAGTTCCTCCACGAGCATATTTTTGTGCAAACTATAATGCAAGCACATTTGGAATTATGAAGCCTGTGCTTCAGCTTCAGGCGCCCCTGCCGTCTCTGCTTCCGGGTCGAACTCCTCACCAAATTCAGTCACGATCCATAGACAAAACTGCTCCCACTCCACTTGCCACTGCTTCAGCCTCTTGGCCTTGATGCCGCTGCCGAGGCTTGCTTGGCGAATATCGTTTGCCCACGCCGCGGCTTCTTGATCTTCAAAAGCGGCCCACCTCACACTGTTCTCTGCCAGACTTCCCAGGCCAGCGAGCCCGAGATTATCCCAGCCCTGCAGAGCCTGCCAGAAGTCGTGGGACATGCCGGCTGTGTCCTGGCCGAGCATGGCTGGGTCGTCGTTGCAAAGGCAGCATGCTACTCCGCGAGCTAGCAGCGCGGGCAAGGGATGTGCGAGCACGGAGCCGCAGAGACGGAGGACTTCGTTTGAAATCGGGCATGATTCAATGAGAATACGTTTATCCTTGACCATGTCAGTCAACAACGGATGTTTGTATAAGCTGTACGCGTGGCCGATACGCCTTGTTCCGAGCAGGATGGCATCAAATAAGTTGGAATCGGTGCTGTTGCCGTCCCCAAGTGTTTCGCCGGCGTGGAAGAAGAACGGAATATTGATCCCTTCCTGGGCGCATTGTTTTCGAAACCAAAATAGCTCTGGCAGCACATCCACGAGAGGTTTTCCAAGATCCTCTGGTCCGACCAAATCGTACCCAGCAATGAGGTGCGGAAACTCCATCTTGGTTGTGATGCAGTGGTCCATATTTTCGATCAGGGGTCTTGTATCGACACTTCGCAGCGTCGTCCAAATGGTCGTCAAACCCCAGAATCCTTCACCTTCTGGGGAGGCTTTGAACCTGGCGACCTCTTCTTCAATGACCTTGAACATGTGGCTGTAATCTTGCTCAGGTTCTTCCTGGCGGTCGCGGCAATAATCCAGCGGCCAGGTAAATCTACAATGCGAGATTAACACATGGGGTCTCAATGGCGGCATATTACGGCGCATTACGGCACATACCTGAGCTCAACCCAGTTTACTCCGTCCGACTTCAGCTGGCTCATCAAACGCCGCAGAAAAGCGCGGAATATGGGCTCATAGTGGATGATGGTGGCGACGACAATGAAGCATTTCGCAAATCTTCGCCATATGGCATCGATGCCGTGATGTTGCTCGTGACTGTCGGCCGTTGACAATGTGCAGCGGCTTTTCAACCAGCGGAGAAATCCCTGGCGTCCGCCATCAGGAAATTCATCAGCTGCCTTGGTGAGCAGGATGAATGTTTCGGGCTTGTAAGACTCTTCCCAAAGCGAGCCGTCAGTCCTCTCACTCGACTTGTACCGGAAGTTCATGGCAGCATTTTCCAGTGCATCCTTGCCCTTGAGCGGCCTGTCGCTTGACATGTGTATTCCAGGGGTACTGAGCAGCACTCCAAGGAGATAGTCAAAGTTCACCATTGCATCCATGTGGGAATGCAAAAGACATCCTTTGGGCATCTTTCTGACAATTTTCCACAGGTTGGTGCTCTCCATACGGTCCTTGGCAAACATGAACATCATGCCGGGAAAGATGCGCTCATGGCTAGTCTGCGCCATGTGCTCTTCAACGTCTGGCGTCCAGATGGTCTTTTGCTCATGACTGCGGATTCGGTCGACGATGGTGCAGGCCCTTTTGGCGATTGGTGAAAGCGAATTTCTAAAGGAAGCATCCGAGCGCGACGTCTTTTCTTGGTTGATGAGATTTTCACGGCCAGCCAAGTACTGCTGAATAAACGGATCTGAGGCGGAGGGAATGTCCTGGGAGATTTCGTCCCACACGTCATTTGGCATTGCCATGCTGGGAAGAGGGTACAGCGTGAGGCCGGGGTCAGGCAGGATGCTAGGTAGGGTGACAGGCACGTCCAGATGTCGTCAGAAGCAGAGCGAAGATTGGCGCGTCCTAACTGAGCCAAATGGTGGTCAAAGGGCGAGACGTCAACTTGGAACAGCAAATTGGTTTGATTAAATGGGAGCGGCTTGGCTCGGCCGACACCGATGTGGTATTGTTCCGACGACGCCTCGACTCGAACTGTCTGTCGTCGTTTTGGGTAAAGCATCCGCCGCGGGTGTCTCCAGCTGTGCTCAATCAGCGAAGCACAAACATGCGTCAACTGGCTTGCCAAGGTGAGAAAAAAGCAGCGGGGCTTCGCAATCTAAGTCGCCAGGGGTCGAATTGGTCAAGAATGGGTTGCACAACCAGTGTCGGCCAAACATTGAAGTGAGAAGGGCGAGAAAATGGCCGAGTCGGCCAGTGAGAGGAGGCGGCATCATCACCAAGGCGGCGGGGTGACTTGGTGTACCAGAGACGGCAAGCCGCGGCGTTGGGCCAAATGCTCGGTTCGAACATGTCTGGTCAAGTTTGAAGAATGAAGGAAAAGCTGCTTCAGAGTGGAGCCAGCGGGAGACTTGGGAAAGGCCAGGGAGATCAGCCCTTGGTTTGGTTCACTCCTCCACGAAGGCCGTGGCAATCGTCGTGATGCAGCAGCAGCCCGCATACTATCGAGATGTTGTTCTATTCCCCCGGTTTCCTGCAGAATGCATCCCCTTTGCTGGCGCCAGTTTTGTCTGACCCTCGGTGTCTGCTGCCCGTCTCAGTCTCAGCCTCAACTCACAACACCATGAACCATCGGTGTGCTGACCCAACTTCCGTCATTACCATGCTCAGACCCTGGACGTCATCACGCAGCCTATCGGCCTTGATATGGTCCTCTCCACACGTGCCGTCAGTTGGCTTGTCTGGAGCTAAACCGCACCACCTTTTGCATCTCGCACTTCGTTGGCCGGAAAACTATCGTTCGCTTGAGGCACCAGCAAGTCATCGCCTGTGCTTCGCGTCATTGCTCCTTGCGCCGTTCCTTTCTGCCCCATAATACTCTCCGTCGACATCGCCTCTCCAAACTGCCGGTAGCGTCCTTTTCGTCTTCTGCCCACTCATCATGAGCGACCTTCATCTCATTTCATCACCTGCAGCCCACATCACAGAAGCACATGACTATCGGGCGCTTAGAGCCCGCAGCCCTTCAACTGCAGGAACAGGCCGGGACTCTGCAAAGTGATTTCCGTAGCTGCCCATTACTCTTTTGGGCGTGGCCGGATGCACGTCTCACCTCATGGGAAGCTCGATTCAACCAACAGCAGTTGACATGTGAGTGTCTTCGGTGTACAAGAAAGAAATAATGCACGTTGGTGACGGGGCTGCGAGGTTACCAAACTTGACCGGTGAATTGTATAAAAAACTACAAAAAGGGCCGTTGTTCCCTATGCGTTCCCTCTTGCACACCTGTAGATCCGTGAGAGAAAAAAAACACCACTTACACCATTGTCTACTACTGCACCATCCCATTAGCTTCAGCATACAAAGCTATATATACTCCACAAGATCTCTTGCCCGAATAGAAAATGCTACTTGTCAATATCCTCACGCTCGCCCTCGTCCCAGCCACAACATGCCGCGCCCTTCCGCAACAAGACGTCCGCCCCGACACATGCTGCTTTACCATCCACGACTCGTCAAGTGGTGAAATCATCCGGCAACAAACCAGCTCCGGCTTCCTTTACCTAGGCGGTTCTCAACCCACGGGCTGGTACTGCATCAATCTCTCTGATCCCAATAAAATCCTCTGGGACGCCTTCAACAACGCATGCTTTGTCAACCCCGACAAAGTGTTTCAGTGTCTCGATCCTACCCCGAGCAACGATTCTTGGGGCATTGAGCAGAGTGGTGGCGAGGTACTGGTTGTGGTTAATGGAGATTCGTTGTTTAAAGTATGCCCTGCGGACTCGGGGAGCATCATCTTTACCAGTGCCAGGAAGGATGCGAGTTGCAGAGGCCTGACATTGAAGGCGAAGGGACTAAAGGGGAGCTGTGGCCGTTTTGGGGGATGATATTGTGTTTCGAAACTGAATCTGCTGCACGATTTTGACATGTTTTATTTTTTTTACATGAATTGTTGTTGCTGGCGCGCAGCCATGAAAAATGATTCCGCAAGCTTCTTAAGCATTACGATGCGTGTTTATACGGTGCTGCCTTCATCATGTCACGGTTCTCTGGTTTGGGTATGACCAGGCACACGGTTTATATATTGTCGCGGGAAGGCGGTCCAGGTTCTCACATCAAGACGCTCAGTACGCATCATCCTGAAATATAACTGTATGAGAAAAGCTACAGCTTGGCGGCTACATCCCCCCCATGGCCGTACACAATGGCAAGGTCCTTGTTTAACTCCTCCTCCGTGCTTCCTCTCGCCCTCCTCTCAACACCAAACTTGTCCTCCACAAACCTTACAAATACTTCCTTGGCCACTAGACTCCCATCCGTGCCCGCATCGACATACAGCAACAACGACGCAAGCACATCACCCAACTGCCAAACAACCTCGCGCGCTTCGCCCATCAAGTCCGCCTGCTCCGTCCCCTCAATCTTGCTCTTCAACGCCGCCCACGTCTCAACCGGCTGCCAACCAGGCGGTCGTCCAACCCTCCCCTCAAAGCCCCATGCTTTTCCAACAACTTCATCCAAGGCCGCCAAAGAATCCGCACCACCGCGCGCATGTTTCATTGCGCGAATCAAATCCGTACACAAAACATCCGTCGTGCCCTCCCAGATAGGCAGCACGCAAGCATCTCTATATATACGCGAGATGTTGAGGTACTCCTGCTCCTCGTTCACAAGGTAGCCCACGCCGCCCAGCGCCTCCATGCAGGAGAACAGCAGCTCTACGCTGTGCTTGCAGACGTACGCCTTTGCGAGCTGGCTCATGACTCGGAGCAGTGGCTCAACGAGTTTCTTCTGCGGCGTGAGGGCTTCCAATGCCGGCGGGGGCCTCGCGTCGAGCGAGTGCTCGGAAACACCCAGCACGTAGGACGTGTAAAAGGTGACGAGCATAAGACGGCGATACTCTGCTGATATTTTGGCAAGCGTCCGCATGTGCAGCGGGCTGTCGACCAGTCTCATCCTCTTGCGGTTGCCGGCGCCGACGTCTCGGACGAGGGCGTAGGCTCGTGCTATTCCGAGGCCGCGGCCCACGCCGCCGACTGCCGCGACAGCCGAATGGACGCGGGTGAGGGTGAGGATGGTGCTGATCTCGTGGATGCCTCTTCCCTCCTGGCCGATCATCCAGCCGCGCATGTTCTCCAGGACGAGCTCTGCCGTGGGGAGGGACTGCGTGCCGAATTTGTTCTTGAGGCGCTGGATGCGGACGCCGTTGAGTGCTCTGCCGTCGTCCTTGGGCTCGCCGGTCAGTGTCGTGGCCTCGGGGTCGTGCTTCCTCATTGGCGCTAGAAACGTTGACAGCCCCCCCGCGGCGGTCCTGGCCAGAAGAACCGTCATTTCCGAGTCTGTCGCGCTGGAGAACCATTTGAACCCATTGATGGACCATGGGCCCAGGGGAATCTGGCCGTGCTTGGAAGCAAACCCGCTGGCACCCTCTGGCTGGTACGTGGCGACGGTTTCTGTGAGGGAAACGTCGCTGCCGCCTGTTCGTTCCGTCATCCACTGTCCGCTGGTCCAGGCATACTTGGGATCACGGGACGTAAGTCGCCTGTAGGCGTCTGTAAAGACCTTTCTTTCCGCGACGGACAGAGAAGCAGAGAGCTTGGGCTGGGAGAGATGGCCACGGAGGAGGCATGCCGCGCCATCCTGCATAGCTGATGGGCAGCCCACATTCGCACAGGAGCCGACCCAGAGGTGGCTGCGGAGGAATTGAAGAGGCCGAGAGAATGCGCCGTAGGGCGTATCATAGCCCGTGGCTACCATGCTACATGCACGATGCTCAGCTTTCGCGTAAAAGTCATGGAACGGGTGGAAGTAGTTGGTCCCCTTACCCCCTTGACAGCCCAAAGTCCTGCAAGTTCCGCCATCCCTCACCAGTAATCAGCTCCCCCTTCCATTTTCCAAAGGCATCTCGCCCCGAGCCCTTGAGATACGGCTTGTTATGTTCCGAATCAGCGACCCAGGTGAAAATCCGGTCCGAAATCACGTCCTGCCCAAACGACGATACTTCGCCCCCAACCTTGGACGCTACCTCGGCAGAAAGAAATACTAGGAATCCTCGTCAGCATTATATACATATATATATCTACATCCAGTCGAGATGGACCCCATTAGCAGGCTCGAGGGAGGGGCAGGCTTGCATTGAAAGCATCTCTGGAACGACGCATCATCGTAAAACTGGTTCCTCAAGACAGGCGCCTTCTGAAAGAAGCCCTTGTCAGCACCCGAAGGCTCCATGATCAAAGTCACAAGATGCCAAAATGCGGGGGAATGAAAACATACATTCCTACGAGACTATAACGTGCAATACAACGGCAATAACAAGCGTTTAAGTAACAGGCGAGCGTCTCAACGGAGGCAATTCCGCACTAGCATGGGAGTGGCGTCTAGAGAAACCGAGGCAAATCGACCTCCAGAGTGGGAACATGACCGTCTGCCGGAAAGCGTTCCGTAGACAGCTAGCACGTGTGGGATGATGATCGCAGAGCGGTGCAGAGAGCAACGCGGGCTCTTTGTGTAACTTTTATCGGGAGTGTTGTGCGTAGTGGTCCCCTCCTTTGCACTCGAATGCAACGGTTTTGTGCAGAATCACAGAGAGGCTGGCGTGGAAGCAGGCGAGATGGTGAAATAACGAAGCCATAAAATAAAGCCGTCGCGTATCATTCCCAAAATAGCCTAGCTGGCACTTCCGCCGATAACTCCACAGCACGACTAGCCAACCAAGACGCTCTGCGCAAGGGCTGGCCTCCACTTTCCGTTTGAAACATGAATAGTACTCATTAACGATGGGAATCGCAACAATAGCCGCAGTCGTCTAGGGGTAAGGACACCAGTTTGTGGATCTAGCGAGACACTGGAAACCGAGGTTCGAGTCCTCGCTGCGGCACACTGAATAATTTTTGGCACTTTGCCATGGCAATCAATGGCCTTTTTTTTCCCTTTTATTTGTATCGTTTTGTTTATGACGTTTGCAAACTACTCGAACATTTGAATCGCCCTTTTTTGAGCCTGTTTACTGCATGATATAGGGCTAAATGACAGTTGCAGATCCCGCATATCCCTTGCATCTTGAGTATTCGCCAGGAAGGGGGTACTAGAGTAGCCCTGTTAACAATAGCATTGCTCTTATAGCCAGCCCATTGCAAAAAAAAAAAAAAAAAAAAAAAAAAAAACCCTGACTTTGACCCCTTCATCATGAAAGCCGCTTATGTCACAATGAACTGGTCACTGGCAAGAGGCTCGTTTCATTTGTGTAGGGGCTGTAAAGGGTATGCTAAAAATGACTGGATCGTTTTTGGTGTTTTTGGAAAAGCAACGAACACGAGTTATCATGCATTTCCTCGGAAGGAGTCGCCCTAGGTTTTTGCGCGTCCTTGGTTGATATGCCAAGTGCACATGCTTTTCCTACAATACACTTGCATCCATTATATGCTCTGCAATAACCTCGTTGAAGAGCACAAAATCTTCGTTCATGACGGATGATGCAAGCAGTGTCTTGCCCGTAATAACCCCATGACACAAAACATATTCTCGTCTATCGCCCATGGCAGCTCGAGGAGTTCAATGATGTGTACATGACCTTATTAGTGAGCAACCATGCGCAGCAGCGTCCCGGTCCACCAATGCCTGTTGGATTTGACGTGTCCGATAGAATATCCGACCAATCGCCAGCATGGTCAGGTGGCATGCGAATTGTCGCGATGGTGCTCTCTAACACCTGGTGTATCCGCATTGACTTGGTGAGCCTTGGTATTCATGACCCCTTGTAGGAGTCAAGCGGCGTGGTGACAGCAAATCCCTGTTACTCCAGGCGGCATATCGAATGATACCTGAAAAAAATAAAGTGCACGGAAAAGGTCGACAGGAACGAGTGGTCAACCACTAGACACATTGATCTACCGGGACTTCTGGATCATGGGCCGCAGCTCGTCGCCTCAACAATCAGAGACTGTTGGAGAAGCACGTGTAGTCAAGAGCTAGGTAACGTCTACGGAGTAGTTTTGTCGAGATAAGTTAACTGCCATCCGCAAATGGCATCAGCTCGAAGGAATCCATATTGCCGAGCTTTGAGGGCATGAGCCACCCAGCTAGCCAAGACACATCCCAGGGGTGCTCCGTTTGTACGGAGTAGTACGGAGTACGCAGGTCTGGAACAGCGGCCAGCCCGAGTCAAGGGCCCGTACGGCTGGACCGCGGCTGGCAGTACGGAATAATATGGTGGTGGTCATTTGGTCCAATGGGCCATTGTCCGGCGTAGCCAGCGGCGGTCAGGAAAGGGTATTGAATACTTGGTCGGGACTGTGTACCTAGGTAGTCAAGGCAAGGAGCAGCGAGGCAATTCGTCTGGCGTCAGGCTTGGCGATTGATATTAGAAAATGACGCGAGCGCCGCTGCCTCATAGAGGGCCGCCGCATCATCACCCAGTCTTTCAATTGAACTTGACAAGGTGGTTGTTCTGGCCTACGGACTGCTCAACAGTCCCAACCATGTGGCAACATTTTGGTCAAAGAAACAGGTGGGTTGAATACCCAAGTTGTTGGAGGTCTCACTGCACGGAGTACTAGACGGCACGTTCTTGCTTGTGGGTAACTTTAAGGCGTACGCAGAGCTTTGCATCTCGTCGACACTTGTCGTCGAGCAAAACCGGCAGGAGGGAAAGTCCTCCGTACTTCAGTCCCGAGACCATCTGACCATTGGAGCCGGGGCTCAAAGGCTACAGTCCGCCTCATGCATGTGTCTGGGGCATGCAGAAGCCGCCAAGGCGCTAAACTGGCATCGTTAGCTAAGCAGCGAGTATTTGGCGTACAAGGCCGATTGGCAATCTGCTTGGCCCTGCAAGAAAACCTACACGCCCTGTTTGTACACGCCTCTGTCCAGCTTAGACGGATGGCATTCCGTCAATAGTACGCCTGCCGTTCGCCTCTCAACTGTCCGACTAGCTCTGTCAGTGCGAAGCACCAATTGACAGCGGCGCTATGTGTTGCCACGAGACCACCTCTGTCTCTCTTTGGGCTTCAGTGCTTCCGTTTCCAAAGCCCAAATAATGTAACTAGGAGATACAACAGCAGACTTTGAGGCGCGTCCGTCTCTTATCATTTAGCGTTGATTCGCAAAGTTAATCGCCTACCCTGGCCCGATGTTACGGTGAAGCTGAACCTGTCCTCCATAGTCTGGTGGTGGAAGACGGTTTCCAAGTCCTTCACGAGAGGCGAAAGAGCGAGTCAATCACGACGTGGCGTCGGTCCTTGACGACTCGTCCCCCTACTGGCTGCCGGCCATGGATAGAATCATGAAAACAAAGACCGATTTCCATTCAAGATTCTGCATCGATCAGGAACAGCACAGCCGTTCAATGCCCACCAGGACATCTGTATGGGCAACTATCTTGTGTCACCCGCGTCGGTGATTGTCCGCCATCGGGGGAGGCGGATGAAGCGGTGCTGTACGGAGGAGGAGTCAAAGGCGTTTTTGGCACCTGTGTCTGGTGAACGCTGAGTCAACCAAGGTGGCTGCATGGCTGCACAACCGCAGCCATGAGCCACGACATCACCACGGACGACATGGCTATCACCGCTTTCGGAGGTCCCTGCTTTGTCAAGCCCTCCATTTGTGCTCCTCTCTGCCCCGTCAGCCAACAGCCCCAACGCCGCACGCCACAGATCACTCAAAGGGGTGTCTGACTTCGCATGTATACACAGTACAGCGTCCAGCTAAACAGGCAGCGCCTTCGGCCAAAGCCAAGGGCAAGTCCAAGCAGGAAAGGAAAGGTATCGCTGAGCGCCAGGACGACAACGGAAGCCAGAGAGAGTATATGTACAGATCACTCTGCGGATTGCGCACGAGAGTGGACGTGAGAACGTTTATTCGTTCCAGTTGTCTAATGTTGACGACTTGAAGTCGTGCGTGGGTTGCTCAAGTCGTACTTGAGGAAGCTGCAGTGACAGCCTCGTGCCTTCTCGGACTGGAGTCTGGGTGCCTTTATTTGTCCACTTGGCTCCTTCCTTCCTTTCGATGCCTTGAACGTTGAGCTTGAGTTGCCAATTGCACTGTCAGGCCGACACATTCATTACTACATAAACAGCCAAGTATGCAAGTCTCTTGTTCTTTATGCCTTCCATTCCTTTGTGTCCCGCGGTTTTGTTGTGTCCAACAATGTCGAGCCGTTCGATTGTGTGCTACATGCAATCACGTCTTTCTGGTTTCACAAGCTGGCGCAAGAGTGAGTCGATCCGCTTTGAACTCTTCCAACATGAGCCGCCATGGCCCGGCGTCAATATCCACGGTCCGCGCTTCAGACCCCGACTCGGGCACAGTCCCTTCCACTCGTCAACCATGAGCCTCGAGACCACAACAGGAGGCGAACCACCCGGCCTGGCATCTCCACCTCGCAGGTGGAACCGCACTCCCTTGGCCGGGGGGGCGTGCGCCTCAAATGTTCCCGGTTCCTCCTCCTCTTGATTCATCGTTGCCCACTTCACCTAGTGCATTCTCTCAGCCTTCCCTATAAAGGAGCACCACCCGCTGACGCAAGGTCGCCATCAGCCTGGTTTGTAATCTCTCCCTTTGTTTGTACTAATCCTCTACGCTCCCGGACCCAATATCTCTTCTCTCCCTCACCTCCTCCTAGACCAGCAAATCGTCTTGATCAACTCTACATTCGTTCAGAATCCTGCCGTCGTCCCTTTGGATTTGCCTGTCCTGCCTAGCGAGCTCCGTCTTCGGCCATCGAAAGACACTCAGCCTACACTCAACGACACAGCACATACAACACAACTACGCCAAGCATCATGGCCGGCAAGAAGATTCGTTGCAGTACCAAGGACTGCCGAGAGCCTGTTCAACGCATTTTTGGCGATTGTGGTTTCTGCGGTGGTCACTTCTGTGGCAAGCATCGCCTGTTGGAGGACCACAAGTGCAGCGGTCTGGAAGACGTAGGTCAACCCAAGCATTGATGCGCTGCTATGCGCACTTCATGTCAAGACAGACAAGACTGACTCTTTTGTTTTCTTTTCCAGTGCAAGAAACAGTCACACGAGCGTAATGCTGCACAGTTGGAATCAGAAAGAACGCAGGTCATCCGTGGCGTTTAACTGGGTCACCACCACATGACTCTTGTACTGGGTCCGGCCGGCGTGCGAAGGCCCGAATCTACTACGGAAGCTCAATTTGAGTTGGATAAGTCTCTCTCAATCGACACAACGTGGCTCTTTTCTTTGATGAAATATGACTATACGACATTTCTGTATCGAGCGATTGCAATCTGGAGGCGTGGTTCTTGGGGAACTAGAGGCGTAGTGGCCCACCGTTGTATTCTACTTATCGGCGACGGACAGGTGTAACTGTCGCACGGCGTTCCGGGTTCTATTGCTGTTGTGGTTTTCCGGATGGAGCCATCTGCCTCTATTCTGATTGGGGATTTTTGTTTGTTTATTTATTTATTTCACACATGAAATTGAGATATATTCTCCTTGACATGGCTCTCGCCGCCTATCTCGGAACACGGTGGCTTGTGTGATTTTACAGTGCGACTTTAACTCCTTCGATGCGTTTCAGACGTTTCATTGCCCATCTAAAATCACCCCCACCCAACAAACAGCTACGCTCCGCAATGCCAGTGCCAGTGCCAATGCTCCGTACGGAGCACTCTGTACTCATGTACATATGTACACAATTCAATGGCCGGCAGTCGAGCCCTCCGAACTCGTGATGACTGATTGGTGACAACTCACTTTTCCGGATAGTCACGGTCTGAATGGCCACATTGCTAGTCCTTGGGTTCTACACGTCCCGTCACGTAGGGCATTCATGCATATGGGCGCCGTGTTTGCGGTCTAGTGGTCGTGGTCGGCAATGTCGAGTATGCAGGTTGTGCAGACCGCCACACCC